AGTAATAAAAATACTAATGGAAGTATTACGCTTATGCTAACCGTGGAAGCCAACTGCTTGTTTGGTTGTGGACTAGTTTAGTGACGTAAGAGCGGATCGTTGACGAAGCTTCGAAACTCATGACTATCTTTCGTTAATAATTATCAGTTTTATTTTAGCTAATGGTGGATAGAAGTGATTTAAGAAAATTAATGAGATTATAGATGACGGACCAATCGTGTATGGTGTTCTTTCCGCCGTCCAGTCGATTATTTTCATATGAATCAGTAAAGCGAACCAATGAATTAAGGAATCGAAGCACCTCGGGTTCGCTACTCGCCAGTGATCATTAGAGGTACGGCAGTGGTGGAGGCAACATGTGTGTGTGTGTGGTCATACAGTATTTGATCGCTATTTCCATGTTTTACGTTTGCTGTTTGTGGATTACCTCGTGTTTGTGGCGTCGTGAGGACTTCCAGGACTCTACGTTGTGGTTATTAGCAGTTGAGTGAAGGTAAGGTGATAACAAGTTGTGTTGTTGTACTGTGGGGTCGAACAGGGCAGGATTCAGGAGTGGGCAAAGTGGGCAGCTGCCCAGGGGCCTCCACAATCTGGGGGCCTCCACATATCAGGGCTGGTCGACTTGAAACCATATGAATGACTCCAGTCATGTCTCACTTTTGTGTGTGTGTGTGTGTGTGTGTGTGTGTGTGTTGGGAATTTGTATTCTATCAATAAATATACAGTTTATTAAAAATTTCTCAATGTTCTAATTTCCTCAATATAACTGCATATGGCTTGAAAATTCTCCAAAGAAGTGTTCAAATTTCAAAATTTTCCCGGGGGGCTTACAGCGCCCCCCTGAACTCCCAGATGTTTAGGTTCGCTTCACTCGCCACCCCACCCTCTTGGGTAGTTATAATGAGGGGGGCCTCCACAAAGAGGCTGCCCATGGGCCTCCACAGGTCTAAATCCGGCTCTGGGTTAATAGCCATCTTAATAGCAGTATTATCTGTCTATCCACATACTAGCTTTGGTTAATAGTCATCTTAATAGCAGTATTATCTGTCTATCCACATGCTAACTTTGGTTAATAGTCATCTTAATAGCAGTATTATATGTCTATCCACATGCTAACTTTGGTTAATAGTCATCTTAATAGCAGTATTATATGTCTATCCACATGCTAACTTTGGTTAATAGCCATCTTAATAGCAGTATTATCTGTCTATCCACATGCTAACTTTGGTTAATAGCCATCTTAATAGCAGTATTATCTGTCTATCCACATGCTAACTTTGGTTAATAGTCATCTTAATAGCAGTATTATATGTCTATCCACATGCTAACTTTGGTTAATAGCCATCTTAATAGCAGTATTATCTGTCTATCCACATGCTAACTTTGGTTAATAGTCATCTTAATAGCAGTATTATATGTCTATCCACATGCTAACTTTGGTTAATAGCCATCTTAATAGCAGTATTATCTGTCTATCCACATGTAACTTTGGTTAATAGCCATCTTAATAGCAGTATTATATGTCTATCCACATGCTAACTTTGCCTGCCATCTTAATAGCAGTATTATCTGTCTATCCACATGCTAACTTTGGTTAATAGCCATCTTAATAGCAGTATTATATGTCTATCCACATGCTAACTTTGGTTAATAGCCATCTTAATAGCAGTATTATCTGTCTATCCACATGCTAACTTTGGTTAATAGCCATCTTAATAGCAGTATTATATGTCTATCCACATGCTAACTTTGGTTAATAGTCATCTTAATAGCAGTATTATATGTCTATCCACATGCTAACTTTGGTTAATAGCCATCTTAATAGCAGTATTATCTGTCTATCCACATGCTAACTTTGGTTAATAGTCATCTTAATAGCAGTATTATCTGTCTATCCACATACTAGCTTAGATTAATAGCCATCTTAATAGCAGTATTATCTGTCTATCCACATACTAGCTTAGATTAATAGCCATCTTAATAGCAGTATTATGTCTATACCACATACTAGCTTAGGTTAATAGCCATCCTAATAGCAGTATTTTCTGTCCGAGCCACGGCATCCACAACTCCTGTACACACTGCGGAGAGCTTCACTACCGCCTCCTCCTCCCTGGACCCCACAGTACAACACAACTTGTTATCACCTTACCTTCACTCAACTGCTAATAACCACAACGTAGAGTCCTGGAAGTCCTCACGACGCCACAAACACGAGGTAATCCACAAACAGCAAACGTAAAACATGGAAATAGCGATCAAATACTGTATGACCACACACACACACATGTTGCCTCCACCACTGCCGTACCTCTAATGATCACTGGCGAGTGGCGAACCCGAGGTGCTTCGATTCCTTAATTCATTGGTTCGCTTTACTGATTCATATGAAAATAATCGACTGGACGGCGGAAAGAACACCATACACGATTGGTCCGTCATCTATAATCTCATTAATTTTCTTAAATCACTTCTATCCACCATTAGCTAAAATAAAACTGATAATTATTAACGAAAGATAGTCATGAGTTTCAAAGCTTCGTCAACGATGCGCTCTTACGTCACTAAACTAGTCCACAACCAAACAAGCAGTTGGCTTCCACGGTTAGCATAAGCGTAATACTTCCATTACTATTTTTATTACTATTATTATTATTATTACTATTATTATTATTATAAATATTATTATTATAATTATTATTATTATTATTATTATTATTATTATTATTATTATTATTATTATTATTATTATTATTTGGGGTTTTAGGCCGTGAGACGTGAGTTAATGTTCGACTGATGACTCGCTCTTTGCTCATGAAGAATATCAAAATCATCAAATATTAATTTCTTTTTCTTTCTAGGGTGTGTAGATGGGAGGAAGGGTGTGTGGATTGGAGGTAGGGTGTGTGGATGGGAGGAAGGGTGGGTGGATGGGAGGAGGGGGTGGGTGGGAGGAAGGGTAGGTGGATGGGAGGGAGAGTGTGTGGATGCGGGGAAGCGTTTGTTATTTATTTTAGATTGTTTGGCTATCTGAGGCTGGGTTGAGGTTTACGGCTGGCTGGGCTGAGGCAAATATCTGGCTGGCCAAGAACCCCACCAAACAGATCCTCAATGCCAGACAGGCTGCATGTCGTCATTGGCAAGTACTGGGCAAGAACTGGCTCCAGAATGTTTCTGCACCGGCGCCAATGTTGGTCAAATCTGGTCTTAAAGGAGCTCACTCTCGGTGCTGTCACACTCTCTGGCAGTGTGCCAAGAGTTTACAAACTCAGAAAAAGTTTGCCTTGACAATTTTCCGAACTTGTGGCTTCTTCAACCATAAGCTGTGACCACCCGCCCAGCTAGGCTAGTGGTGCACGTCCTCCAGCTCCAGGTATGAACCCTCGAGTGAGTAATGCCCTCTGAGTTGTTTATAAACTTCAATTAAGTCGCCCCTTAACTACCTGTAGTATAAGCTAGGCAATTCCTGTAGGGGGAGGGATATAAATTTGCCCCACTTAAGAGTTTGATAAAAAACAAACGAATATGAAGGACTATGAGTGTATTGTACGTGGATATTAAAGATTCACATGGTATACTGTGCGGGTAAACTGAGAATATGAACAAGTACTGTGTGTAATTGTACTGTACTATCGTGCACCAAAATCGTGTCCACTACCCAGCCACAGTGAATGTTCGAATTGCCCTGAGTCTGAAGTTTCGAAACACCTGGGGGAAATGCTATGGTCGGCCAACAGATGTTGCCCACTGTATTGGGGGGAGAGAGGGGTGGGGGTATAGAGGAGGTGGGGGCTCGATGAGAGGCAGGTTTATTTATTATTTATACCACCCCTGAAGATGTGAATTACACAAAAGCGCTTGGGAACTTCGTGTTTTCTTCTTTCCTTGTGGTTATCAGCACATACCAGGATCACGCGCACCTACAGTGATTTACTTGCATATATATATATATATAGATACAGATATAGATATACATATACATATACATTTCTCATGTAGATCCACAATGAAAACGTGGATAAGATAAATCTTGATAAAATCACACGGGAAAAGGGAAACAACGGAGCACCTTAGCTTTCGTCTTTATTCAAGACATCTAAAGAAGCATCTTCAGAGTTGCCTCTAAGATGTCTTGAATAAAGACGAAAGCTAAGGTGCTCCGTTGTTTCCCTTTTCCCGTGTGAGTTTATCAAGATATATATATATATATATATAGCAAGAACAAAATATACCAAAATTTATTAATGATTTCATCAATATTAAGCTTCTGCAAAATAACTAATTCAATGTTCATAAGAGACAGATAATTGAGACGATGCTAGGACATCGTTGAACAAAGTTCATGTTTAATATGTTTCAACTTCGAGAATGTTTGGATTTGGGGGCCCCTTAGAGTCGGGGGGCCTGAGGCCAGTGCCTCAAGTGCCTCATGGTTAATCTGGCCCTGGTTACACGGCATTAAAACATGGCAGTTAAATAGGATGACATAAGTAGTCTTGAACGAGCCGAAATGAGAATGGTGAGATGGATGTCCAATGTGACACTGAAGAACAGGAGCTAGAGGGTGGCTGGGTATTGAAAGTACAGTGCAGTACAATATATTGGCAAATATTTGTGGAGAGGCAGATTGAGATGCTTTAGCCATGTGGAGAGAATGGAGGAGACCAATTGGCTCAAGAGATGCAAAGTCTAAATGAGGTGGTGAGGCGAGCTAGGGGTAAAGCAAGAATGATTTGGGATGATGTAAGAAATGGCATCGCAGTTATGAACCTGATAAAAGAGGCTGCCAGAGACTATGCAGATTGGAAAACTGCAATCAGGTAATGATGACTAATCCACACAAGAATGGAAAATGACCATAAAAAGTTGAAGATGATAATATAGACGTTAATCATAATAGGAAGTCTCCATTAGGTTAAACTACCGTATTCAACATGCAGTACTATCTATCGAAAATTATGGTGAATGCTAATCTTCCGCAAGGTAAGAAGAAGTTATAGTAACATATATTCATATTTATTGTGAAAGATAATACAGTATATATTACAGGGCTATGAATCTTAATTGAGGAATGGATAGAGCACCTTCGAACAGCATTACACAAGTCTGTCTCACTCTAATCTATTGAAAATATGACGTTTAGTATGTACAAAATACTGTATACTGATCACATACATCATGCAAACAAAACTTATAAATATCAAATTATTTTTCTCATCATAAATAAAAACATTAATTTTAGTATCACACACTCACATTATATATATATATATATATATATATATATATATATATATATATATATATATATATATATATATATATATATATATATATATATATATATATATATATATATATATATGAAAATGACTAGAAAATTGACTTTTTGCTAGACAGTTTATGAAGGCACAAGACGTCCTTCAGTCAGTAGGGTCGAAGAACTCGTGTAAAGGAAACTAAATGCTAGGAGGAAGTAGGGGAAGGAGGAAGAGACATTAGGGGAGGGGGGGGGGGTGAGAATAAAGGAAGAAGGATGGGGAGAAAGGATAATGGGAGGAAGGAGAGGAATCAGGTAAAGGGAATGTTAAGCCAGAGAGGTGAGGGGGTTAAACTTGAAAGGGTGGCTGAGTCAGAACTCAGGACATGACTTTGACATCTACAGTAAGTATCATTGATAAATAGTTGAGCAATATATCAATAGGTTGAGTTTTAGTCTTATTTGCTGTCAATTATCTAAACAATTGTAACAATGCTGCTGAAATATGACTACGTCAGTTTCAAGTAATGACAGTGTAAATGTTTATGTGACAATTACAACACATAATTCCTTTATATCATCATTATAATGCAACGTCTAAAAGTTAATGCAACATTTAATAAATAGAATTCGTTGTGATAACCAGATAAAATGATATAATGTAATATAATAATGTATAAAATGGTATATAAATCAATAAATTATTTTTAGGAAAAGTGTGATGATTCACACATTTTGATTCAATACATTCCATATCATTGTGTAATAGTCAGTAGTATAATGTTTCATTATATCATAGCTGAAGGGCACAAGACAAAACTGACAGTACAATAATAACAAAACTTTTGTTACATCACAGTAAGAGAACATAAGCGTCTTTGGTCGAGTAAGGGTAGTGATTTTTTTTCTTCAAGATTTGTCCCCATGCAGTGCAAGGGACACATCGAGTAGAGCGGAGGTAATGAATGCAGATATTGCAGTAACATGGTCAGAAAAGAAGACTTTATCAAGCATCAAGCATATTTTGTTTGTTAAATTAAAGACACAATATATGGTTATGAGCCGTTTGGGTACAACCAAGTCTGTCTCTGGCGCAATGCACTCCAGTTTTAATCAGCGATTGATTTTTGCACTAAAACCCGACAAAAACACCTTGCTACTGTTGAAATCACTCCTGCCTTGCTCAATAACAGGGGAGTTCTTGAAGAATCTTCCACAGGTAAACTGTCTTACTTCATGGGAAAACAGGTAAACCTAATCATGATAATTAGCTAGATTAATCCCCGTAGTCTAAAGTCTTTTCAGGCGATACATTCATAAGCACTTCTAACTTACATGTACCCGTTACTCACCATTCCAAAAGTAATTCGGAATGAATCCATATTACATATTTTGTCACAAAAATCTTTATTACAGCTATAAACATTAGAGTACTCTATCTCTATTCATTGTTTGTTGTTCGTACAAGCTAGAATATGTGAGTATGTCTACCGACAAATTAACTCAAATTTAATGTATAATAAAGCACAATACAGTACTTCAGAATAAATTTTCTCTAATATTAATATTAATATTAATATTAATATATATATATATATATATATATATATATATATATATATATATATATATATATATATATATATATATATAAAGTAAACATGACTAATGGATCTTACCAAGATGACCCCACTTTGTCCTAAAAAATTAATGGCGATGCTCGTTTTAGACTTCAATTCTGATCAGTACCGGAGCCCTGGGGATACCCTCCCTGCCCTCCTCACAACACTGGCTTCCTCCAACATCAATAAGTCTACTGACATGTCATCAAACATTCAACATCAAAATATAAGATAAATTATTTGTTGATATTTCATGCTATCAACCCTTCAGGATTTGAGTAAAACATCTATATGGAGGAATTAGGATCAGGTAGCAGTCTAAATATTTTGGTAGAAGCCATTGCGGAGATACCCTGTAATAATTGTCATAAACTTCATCTGTGAGAGGAAGATGCAAAAACCCTTACAGTGGAGAGGTTCTATACCCCTGGCACTTGCCGTCCATTCTGCAGGTTGGATCTATCTCTCAAACACAGGTAGCCCGTATGATCAGCCATCTTTGTATAAGCACCTTGTGTGGTGTATCTGGCAAAGACTGCTGGTAATGGATAAATTTATGATATGTTTATGACGCGTGATATGCACCTCTTTATCGCAGTCATGGCATAAAAATTAAATCTATAAGAAAATTGATAATTGAAGTCCTTTTAAACATCTATACCAGTTTTGCCCTGCTCCCCAACTTTGACACTGAGTACAGCGTTCTGGACGTCTTTCATCGCATCAGCCATTAGGATGCGTTGATTTTTGATCTTGTTTACTTCGTCCTTAAGGTGGAGGATCATCTGCACCATGCGCTTCAAGTGCTTGTCCTGCGTCTGGAGTCTATTCTTAAGGTGTTGAATCTCTGTATCCTGACGGACCACCTTTTCTTCGTACATCTGGGCCAGGAGTCGCAACACCATCTGCAGGTGGGCATGGCGAACCTTGGGGGTGTCTCCTGACATATAATTAGCATAATTAGCATAACTTCCCCTCCTTGCCTGATGGGGCTTTTGTTGTTCATAGGTGGGCCCCGGACGGATGCTCTCTCTGCGTATACTCTCTCTGCGCATACTATCTCTGCGCACACTATCTCTGCGCACACTATCTCTGCGGAAGCTTTCTCTGCGTTTGGGGTCTAAGGAGAAATAGACACATGGATCTTCATCTTCGCTTTGAGAAAAACTGGACCTCGCTCGTCGATTAGAGAGGCGAGATGGAGGATTATACACCTTGATTGAAGGCCGCTTCACTTTCTTACTGCCGTAGCACCGAGACTCCACCTCTTTGGGTACGAAATGCTTATTCTTTTGGTTGCTCTGTGGTTTCAGCAACCGAAACAGTGATGGTAAAGTTTTGGATTTCATTGCAGCAGAATCGGAAGCACGTCTCATCCCCTCGCACACCTTTTCAGGAGGCCTAAGCTTCATGGAGGTGCACCTGACTTTCGGGCGTCCAGCAAATGGGGTTCGTTGAAGCTCTGGAATTCTCTCTTCTTGAATACTTTGGAAGCTACGGCGACCCAAGTCCTCGCGGGAATGAGCCATAGATTCATGTAGGCCTATGCCGCTTTCGGCGTCTTCATCCTTCATACCTCTCATGTCTTCACTGCAGTCTTTCATATCGCAAAGCTGCTCACTGGCCATTTTGGTGCGTCTTGTGGCAAGCCTCCTCTTCCTCTCAGTGGCAGCAGCAGCGAGGGTGTATGAGCGGGAGAGGGATGGTCGACGCGGCATTCCAGTGAAGGAGGGGCGGCGTGACAGTCCAGCATGGGAGGGGCGACGGGGCGCTCCAGCAGCCATCAGGTTGGAGCTATAGAGTGGTGGGATCCAGTACACCAGGTCCGTTTTGTCCTCGTTCATCATGGCTGCCATCGGCTTCCAAGCCCACTCCAGCTGAAACTAACCAATATGAAAATTAATAAATACATACTAAAACTTGCACAAAGTTATATACCTCACAAAGGCTTTTGAGCATTTTATTTTGTGCACTTACTTGCTATTCCCTGCTCCTAAATTATCCTCAGGTCCTACATTATCTTACTTTACTCATCACCCACTAATACTGTGATGATCACGGGTAGAGAACAAAGGTGGGGCTGTGCCTCCCCAGACTCTATATGGCTTTGGAGATTGAAGCTTTACTACCTAAAGTTAACATGGACACTACATACTTTCCCTAAGGAAGTACAAGTGCAAAAATTTATATGGATAATTGTAAAACACATGTGAAAAGTAGGATACATCCAATTTCTTCTGGGGTGTGCTGGCATGCCTCAAAAGTTTTCAGATGATGTTAACAGGGTCCAGATTTTCAAAGATTTGTATTTTAACCCCCCCTAACTTGAGGTAGATAATGCATCTTGGCACACAAGTCTCATTGCGACTTCGATGTCATTTTGGCCACCTTGTTTGTGTTAAACCTTAAGTGAACCAATTAGATGCGTTCTCACAACATTTAGTCTAGGGGGGTTAGAGAGAAGTTTACAGAGGGGACCGGTGATCTTTATAAAAACCCGTTTGCTTATCTAAACTAGTTAATCAAACGCTGCTTTATAATTTCAAGGTAATGTTACCTATTTATTTGGTGCAAACAATCGTAAAGAACAGTTCTTATTACTCGGGTAATCATAACCATCACTGAAACCACTCTTGCCAATTGATGACGTCACATTGGAAAGTAGCGCATGAAAATTACATAGTAGTAAGTGTGGGGTACTTGTATAAGACACAGATATAGTAAGTAACACTTACATCAGGTTGGTTCTTGACCTAGATCTAGTGCTCATCTACAGTACTGTGCTACACTACACTAAGCATTTACTCAAAACAATAAAGTAAATGTATAGAGCCGAGTCTAAAATGCAGGCTCAGATCTACACCAAAATACTGATCTAGGCATATACAGAGTAGTGTTAGAAAGTAGTTCTTAATGGTAACAAGATACTATATCTAAGCTTGGTTGTAAACACACTGTCACATGCACACAGCAGTAGGCCTACTAGATCTGACTAAGTGCTTATCTAGGTCTCATTTTTATCCATGTAAGGTTAAGTCTCCCTAAAGATCTACTCAGATATCGGATGTAGGCGACATAATGGCCTAGTTACCACAATAACAGGGATATGTCAGGTGTGTGACTGAGTAGGTTCTAGCTAACAAACAAAACTCAAACGACGCACCTGTTTGTTATTTCTCGCTTGCTACAAGAAATAAACAAAGAAGAAAAAGTATATCATGAAAATATCCTACACTTATTGACTAACAACTAATATATATATATATATATATATATATATATATATATATATATATATATATATATATATATATATATATATATATATATATATATATATATATATATCTTAAAACTATATTATCACTTGCGGGTACCAACAGAACATCACCCGTATTAAGACTGATCTTTAATTTTGACGTCATTACACAAGAGTTGACGGATTGAAATGACGTAAGAAAAAGGGAGGAAATTCAGGGGTTATTTCAAGGGTCAGAAATGGCACAAAACTGTTGTTATCTTTCTTGTGTGGGTGTGTGTGTATGTGCACAGGGTGGTGAAATGCATTTAGTGTGGCAGCATTATGTTAATGTTAAAGTGCAGGCACGTCTTACTTCCTCTCGCTTTCAGCTATCGTCGTTGGCTAGCCTTCGTGGTGAATGTGAAAGCAACCTTGTGTAAGTCTTCCCCTACCCTTCACCATCAAGACTCTTGCTGTATCTCCTCGTGGCAGCTCACGGTAACTGGGTGCCTTGCAGCCTCAGGCTAGACCAGCAGGGGATCTCGAAGCAGCAGTGGGCCCACTGGCATGTGGGCATGCCCTGGTGCCTACCAACCACTGCCCCACTGCCTTGTGGATTAACCTTGATAGGTATAAGGCTACGGGAATAAACCCCAAAAGAAAAATCTCCGGTAGGGCCCTGAATCAGGCAGAGTGCAACAGACCAGATGTCTGGCAAGCCTCTGCGTCTCTGAACAGCAGGATGTTGCCGTGAGTCCTTCATGCTACCTGAAAACGTTGGACAGAGCCAAGGTAGTGGGTGTGGAGTTAGCACACCGACCTCCACTCTTAATCAACTCGCTGTGCAGAACTTTGCTCCACATCATCTCATTTCATCATCATTCTCCTAAAAGTCCTGTGGCAATGGGAAGGGGCAGTGGGTGCAGGCCGAGCATGTGCCTGGGAGCATCCAGCCCTGACCTGTATGTACTGTAGACAGCACAGGAATGATGGTCGCTGAGCTATGGGGAATGGGACAGCGTATATCCTCGGCAGTTTCCTTTATGTCTGGGCAGCCCTGTACTGCACACTCCTGATGGGGAAGGGCCTAGAAAAGGTGATTTCAAAATTGCCTCTTGTTATCTCCAGGCGGCTGGCTGCAGCCACTGGGACATCCCGTAACGCAATAGAAACAGAACCGATGATAATAATAACTGTAATAATAGTAACAACAGAAACACCAAATCCCACGTGCCACTCATGGTCGCGACATTGAATGTTCACTCTCTTAGATGCACGTACTGAGACTGACAGGCCACAGAAAAGATCAGCGCTAGTGGCGAATGAGCTCAGGACATATACAAGAGACACATAGCAGCTTTGAGAGAAAACAGATTTTATGGCAAGGACTTGCTGGCCCTTTTGGAAGGGCCCTTCTAAGGATGCTCACCACCTGTATGGGTTGGACTTTGTGGTGAAGTCTTCTATGCTGATGACTAACGGCTGATGACTTCGTGCATCCCGCTAGCTAAAGGCCGGTGCGCTACCATCATCAGTACACATGCCCCCATATTAGATGCTAATAATGACACCAAGGATTCTTTCTATAATTCCCTGGCCAGCATCATACACAGCACCCCCAGGATGGACAAGCTATGCCTCATGGGCGACTTCAACGCCCGAATAAGCTCGAACTATGACATATGGAGTAGGCCTCTAGGCAAACAAGGGGCCAGGATGTCCAACAGCAATGGGCTGAGATTACTCTCCCTATGTGCAGAACACTATGGTAATTAACAACACTATTTCAATTGAATAACAAATTCAAGACATCCTGGAAACATACCAGGTCCAACTAAGGTGTTTAATAGCCACAAAGATGGCTGCCACCCATGAAGACTCTGACATAGGTGTCTCATGGACTGACTGAGCTCCGGCGGTCCATCCACCAAGCGGCTGTGGCTTCAGTTGGTTACACCAGGCAACGCCATCAGGACTGGTTGATGAAAAATGCCCTGGGGATTTATGAACTTGTCAAAACTAAGCATAGAGCTCATGACGCATCTTTTTCCAGCCTTCAGTCTTGCACTGTGAAAGCTCGCCTCTCTAAGCAGAGTTGAGACTCGGAGAACTCTACACAACATGAAAAAATGAATGGTGGATCAAGAAGGCGAGCAAAATACAGTGATGTGCTGATACGAACAATGCACATGGCTTCTATGATGCCATCACGGCCGTCTATGGCACTCAGAGGAAAACATCACTACCGTAAGATCAGTGGATGACAAGATGCTCCTCAAAGACCGTCAGCAGATCCAGGACAGGTGGGCGGAGCATTTCAGTAGCCTTCTCAATCAGGGCAACCCAACTGAACCTGAGTGTTGAATGATCCTGCCAAACTTACCATCAACCTACCAACTTGATACCCCAAAGCGCGAGTCCGGACGGCATCCAGGCAGATTGTTTTTTTTTTTTACTCTCCCAGCACCTTTTCCAACTGATTACAGTCACCTAGAGAACTGAAGCATTCCCACAGAAATGGAAAGACGCTAATATAGCGACCAGCTACAGGAAAAAGGGGAGATAAGGCTGACTGTGGGTACAGTAGGGGTATATCCCTCTTAGTGGTTGGTGGCGCGGTGCTGGACAGTCATGCTGCACCGACTGGCAGTTCAAATTACTGAAAACATCCTCAAAGAGACCCAATGCAGATTTTAGAAAAGATCGGAGCACCATTGATATGATTTTTGTCACGAGGCAAATCCAAGAGAAATACCAAGAAGAAAACAAAGATCTTTTCATTAAGTTTATTGACTTGACCAAGGCCTTTGACAATGTCAACCGTGAAGTTCTCTGGCTATTGCTAGAAAAGTTCAGAGTATCACCCAAATTCAGGAACATCTGACAATGCCACGATGACATGTGCACTAAAGTTCTGGCAGGACTAAGGTTTGACCCTTCCAGCGTTGGTGTTGGTGTTAAGCAAGGATGTGTCTTAGCCCCTACCATTTTAAATATGTTCCTTGTAGCAGGAACCCTTCTCCTGTACGACATCTTTAAAGAAGACCGGTGTCTGCATACGATGCCAGCAAGAAGGGAGCCTTTTTAACCAAAGGTGCCTCCAAGGGCACACCATAACACAAGTTCAGCAGATCCATAAACTCCTCTATGTGGACGACTGTGCCCTCGTATCACACGGTGGCTATTGCAATGCGCCCTTGACACCATCTCGACCTTTTACAGTCTTAGGTCTCAAAGTTAATACTGTATCAGGAAGACAGACATACTTGCACAGTATGTTGTGCCTCCCTGATAGTGCCGGTTTTCACCATTGACAGTGAACCTCTTAAAGTCGTGCAGCACTTCACTTACCTTGGTAGCATCTTAGTACCATCCTGCTTAACTGACCATGAGGTCCATGCACGCATTAATCATGCTTCGGTCTTTGGAAGCTTATGATCGAGGTTATTTCATAAAAAAGGTCTTCAAGTCAGTACCAAGGCTGCTGTGTATCATGCAGTGCATGTCTCCACGCTGTTTTATGGTCGGAGACCTAGACCCCGTATATGCCCCATATTAGGTCCTTGGAAGCATTTCACAATAAATGTCTGTGGCGGATCTTGGAGCTATCTTGAGAGGCCCAAATAACGTATGACAATTTTTTTTTGCCACACCCAAACCACAAGCATTGAAGTAATCCTTGCTCAACGACACCTTCACTGGCTGGGACACGTCATCAAAGTGCCCCAGCATCGCCTGCCTCACCAAATACTATATGGCCAACTCCATCGAGGCAATCGATCCTCTGGTAGCTAGCGGAAATGGTTCACAAGACCAATCCAAGAACCTTCTCAAGAAATGCGACTAGCAGCCTTCAGCCCTGGAGAAGCTGGCGGTTGACTGATTTGAGTGGTGGTCCACCTGCGCCAGAGGCGCACCCAGCCTCTGGAGGAAAGCCTAACCAGGAGGAGGACAGAAAGGTGCATCCGACAACACCAGCACGCTTCAGGAGCCAACCCTCCAGGCCTACAACACCCCCGCATCAGCCTACACAGCCACATGAAGCGGCATCAATACCGTCGGCGTTAAATCCTCACTCTTTCATATCCTGGAGCAACATTGTCCTCGGCCCACGATGGACTGTCACTTTTTACCTTTTTTACTTTTCAAGCAAGTGTGTGTGTGTGTGTGTGTGTGTGTGTGTGTGTGTGTGTGTGTGTGTGTGTGTGTTTGTTTTGTTTGTAAGTGTGGGGGTGTATGTATGTGAATGTGTACTACAAACAACAAGGCAACCGTGAACTTATAAAGTAATTAACACAAACACCCACATGAGTTAAGAAGATACAGCACTTGTCTCCTCAACTTAGTGTGGATGTGTTTATTGTTGAGAGGTCAGATTGAGAGTTCACCTGCCATGACACTAGTGTTCCTTACATCATACACATACATTATTAACCTGTCCTGTAGCTTGTAAATAGTGTTGTGCCACCTCTCAACACCTGAAACGACCCTTAAAGTGAATTGTCGCTTCTGTAATCTGATGACAATACAGTATAGCAAGACACTAATTTACTGTTGATATTATATGGAGAAAAAAATGTATGGAACATGAGTTAGGAAACAGGATCTCTGTTCTCATACACAGACAAGGTTATAGAAGCGTAACCACACCTGTGACTGGCTGACTAAATTTAAACTGACGAATGAAACAAAACGTATTCTGGCAGCTTTGAACTATTTTTTTTTAAATTTAACATATAGCATTATATACTACTCATCTCTAATTGGAAAAGTTATATGACAAGAAACATTTTTATAAGGGCATAACTTATTGCTACACATTAGTCAGTGCTTCTTGCTGGCTGACATAAAAAATTTATCATCTCACTACACACGTGAATAATTATTCTGAGTTTACCATAACATTTAATTAATAACTTATCAACTTTCTGTGAATATTATCTTCACTTTATTTCATAGTGACTGAAGTAAAAATAAGATGTACCCCCAGCAGGACACACATCCTGCAGCACTCTGGGTAGTGAACCAGACCGTTTATCTATACAGTACCTTGTGTCTATGTATGACAAGAGGGAAACAGTTTAATCAGCTCGTACATGTAAACAAACTCTGCCTCATGTAAGCGATCATGCTTTTACTTTATCAAACATCACAGTGAAAATAAAGATCAATAAAACATTAAAAAGGTAAATTGAAATTATAATATTTTTGTTTCCTATGATACACATATTTGATATGTTTATTTTTGTTAAATTGGTGATACTACAGCGGCTGAGTGGGTACAACGCCCACCTGTCCTAAGTGTCGCTGGTTCCCTCCCAAAGCATACCCTGTCCACCCAGCTATGTATGGGTACCTGACTTGACAGCTGGGCAAGAGAAGGCGGTCGATTGCAGCGCCTCCTTGTGTACTTAACACTTAGTATTCAGTGTGCTGTATCTGCACTGCCCCTAATGGGCTGTCAGGCCTATAGAACCCACTTTTGCTTTATATATTGTCATGTTTTTGTATGAAACAAAGTAACCATGAAAAATAACCTCAAACAATAAATTTTTAAATTTCTTTTGCCAAAATATGAGGAGTCACTCTAGGTATGACAATCATTCCAATTTTGATTAACGGCATCTTCACCTGCTGTATCACTACTCATCACCAAAAATTTTCATGAGTTTTGAATTGTTGGCAAGAGAAAATGACTGAAAGACTGAAAATTGACCACTGCCATATGTAGTGTATAATGAACATATTGCTACTTCTTCGTAGATGTTAAGTCATGTTAGTTCACAATTCACCCACTAGTGTTCAAACCTGTCAGAAACACATCAACACATTGCACATGTGTACCAGCTTGCTGTTTCTCCATCATGAATTGGGTGAATCAGAACTGTTCTGAGATCCATTCAGCTGCTCTGAGTGGATACAGTACTCACCTCCCTTCAACTAGACTGTAACTGGGTACCTAACTTTACAGCTAGAGTAATACAGTGGTGGCCATATTGTCTCTGTGTATTTAAATTGTGATATTCAGTGTACTGTACCATGTCCACACTAACCCTATTGAGCCATCAGATCTATAGAACCCAGAAGAGAATTCGTGAGTCTTATGCACATAAGACTATCAAGGCAGCCGAAACACGATAAAACAAATAATTCGCAATATATTTAGTGATCGTCAACTTTCTAAGCTGCAATACTGTACAATGCTGCATTTTGATATACTGATCACTTTAACACAACTCCCAAGCATCAACTCTTTCAACATTCCTGCTTCACCTTGCACAGTTGCACAATATGAAATATTGTACTAGTAAATGTGGCAGGAAGGCATGAACATAACCATTAAAAGCTTTGCACTGCTGCATTATTAAACCAATGAAATCCAACTTATCTTGTCAAAACTAATTATATTTAACAATCAAAACTAACCAAAGTTAACCAAAACTGATCTAACAAAACAAGAGTATCCTCATCAAAGCTAGTCCAACCAAACTTGAACTAAGCAGACCAAATCTACCTTGGGGACTTTGAGTTAAGGTTTAGTTGGTTTGTGTTGTCTGCTGTCATCTTGAGTGCTGCTGTAAGAACCCTCATTTATTTCTTCCAACATTATGTCACATGCCCCAGAGAGGCACTGTCTTGCATGCCCTATATTTTCAAGTTACAGAAACTGCAACAAGACACTTTTAGTTTCTTCTTGTTTTCTGTTTCAAAAGATTAGCCAATTAGCGGTTAGATGGAGACGAGATCAAATCTAAACCGATAACAGTGCCGCTGACACACTGTCCAATGCCATAAATAGTAATATTTAATAACAAATAGTGCAAATATTACTTATGATACTAAATTCTGAGAAACTCCTTTGAAAGATGACCACAAAATAAATATTGCCTACAATATTGCATAAATTTTTTGTTGTTTAATTGGACAGATTATTATGCTCTGTACAGTACAAATATTTTGACAAGTTGCATACCACATCTTAGTTCCAGCAAACACTTGTTAGTGATCGGTGGACTAAGATGGGTTTACATTCCAAGAGTATAAAAATGAAAATAGCTTAAACGACACACGCAATATTAGGTTAATGCTGTACTGTATCTGGTTCAATACAACACACTTTATACAAGAGTGCAGCAGGTCTTGGGTCACACTGCACCACTGTTGTCACATACACAGACAGTAAGAATGCACTGGAGGAATGTCCACTCTGAATGATTAATTAAATTATATCTTGTGATAGAAACAAATCGTGTTTACGTTACCATAAACATCAACAGATTCACAAGAATATGAGTGGTGATAATATAAAGATGGTAAGGTTCTCTTGAAGACGTAGACAGTACAGGTTGACAATCCCTTATCCGAAATCCTTGGGGCCAGAGGCATTTCGGATTTCGGAATTTTTCGGTTTTCAGAATGGCTAGTTTTTTTTTTTTTGCCCACCTGGGCACAAGTCACTGACCCACATTGGGGCCTGGAGGTCGAAAATATAATAACAATTATAATAATAATAATATAATAATAATAATAATTCATAGGTCTAGGTCATGTTTTTCACTTTTTATCTTTTTTCATTCTTGTATTTCTTTATTATTATTATAAATTTTATTATTATATTTTTAATTAAAATTTTTATTTACTATGAATAATTATTATTATTATAATTAGTATTACTATTACATTTTTGCCCCCCAGGCCCCGATGTGGGTCAGTGATCTATGCCTGGGTGAGCTAATCCCTGTTTAAAAAAAAAAAAAAAAAAAAAAAAAAAAATGCCCCACAAAAAAACTTTCGGTTTTCGGAATTTCGGATAAAGGGTTGTCAACCTGTACTGTATTGTATAAATTATACTTATAAGCAAGGAATTTAAAGGCACACGCCAGTTTACTAGGCGATGTACAAATACAGTAATTAATTAATCTCATTGCATTGTGAAGATTTACTCTATAGATTTAGTATTAATATCTCTTAACTTATATCTACTTAGAGAACACTTACCGTATATTCATTAATTTCACTTCCTAATCATTAAAATAAAAAGTATGCCTGGACAATATTTTCCCTAAGTCAGCCTACATAAAAGTGGGTCCTGTAGACCTGATGGATAATTAGAGGCAGTGTGGATACCGCACACAGGAGACTTTTTCGGTATGTACTCTTGGTACACGAGGAGGAATTGTGGCCAGCACTACTCTCCACCACTTTCACTTCCCCAGTCATAAAATTTAGCACCCGTTCACAACTGGGTGAACTGGGGATGCCTTGGTTGTGAGCTAGTGACCCTTAGGACAGGAGGTTAGGTGCAGTATCCAGTCGGCCGCTGCATCCCATTTTATCCAGTTATCAACTGTTAAACCATTAGGCCTTACAATAATTGCATTTAAACCTACTCTGTTTGAGTGATAAAACTTAAGTGCTGCTACACCTGAGCGACACAGTACTGGCCCACAGCAAGATACAGAGTATTATATCTGTACTTATTACTGCTTAGTCATCTAATGCCTTATACAGTACTGTACAGTACAGGGTACTGCATATGGAGAAAATTAGCACATGCAAAGGATTGCTCCTTAAATTGAGGAGTTTTAAACAATGAAAGATGAAAAAGGCAGCATTTATATTCACTTTTTAAAAGTTGATATAGCAGGCATTTCCTGCCAGATGGCACACGATTGTAGTCCTACATATACCACACTATAGGTAGGCATAACTTTCATTTGAGATCTTGTCATCCTTTACAAAGACCCTCAAACTAATTTTGTTTTACTATCATAGAACATTAAACAAAATATACTTACAATAAGTAATATTTAACAGAAAATAATATCCTTGTTTAACCTACTTATACGTGTGAGTAATAATTAATAAAAGTTGGTTCCTCATGTGACGTCACGCAGTAATGGCACGAGTGGCCGAAATGAAAAGGTTGATCAGTGCAGCTGTCATTTGTGTCAGACGTTTAGTTAAGATACTTAATAAGTTTAACAGCACAGCTACAATTGCTTAAAGGACAACTTCAGAGTAACACCCATAGGTTTAAATATGATATTATTTACATACGTATTTCTACAAAAGAATATTATGAGACAACCATATTTTTACATTTTAATTCGAGCTTCATGTGAAGGGCCATAACGTCACCAGTGTGAACATGGATGGCTCATGAAAACCATTGAAATGTTTACTTATTCCCTCGTTCAATAATTTAATTATCCATTTTTTATATAGTAATCACACTGCAGTATTTAATTAGATTAAAAACAACAACTTAAATTATGCTAATAAATCATATTTTTTTTCTTAAAACTCCAAATTTCAAAGATAATACGAGTATACTTTAGTAGGGAATAGAGTGAAGGCCATATGGAAGGGGAGATGACTCAAGTGCCACACGTCAGGTATCAGTAAACTGCCATGGTGAGTACATCTCTAATGCTAATACAATGCATAACATACTGTATTAACTTTAGAATGCATCTCTAACAAAAATACCATATTAAGTATATTTATTGTCTATTTAGTTTCAGGATGCATTATATTATAGTGTTAATTCTTAAACATATGTACTCCAAGTAACTTTACTGACACATAATTTTTACCTGTAATTACTGTATACTGAATATCTTTACTCTTCATGGCTCTCAAAGTAAACTGCTGATGACAACCTCTGGTAAAATACACCATAAGAATAAGTACTGGAAACTGATTTAGAGTGCTTTTGTTTAAGTGGATATTATGTTGAAAGTAAGCTATTTTTTGCAAAAAATTTGTCCATTCTATAGAGTACAGTACCACTAACAAGAAAGTGACCGGAGATGACCTTAAGTAATATCTTTTAATTTATGTACAGTCATATAAAGAGTGGCACCGGGTTTTAAGTACAGAGATTTGAGAATCTGGACCTTGCTTGTTAACTTAAGATTAGTGTTGGTGTTGTAAACTCTTAACCCCGCCCTGTTACTCTCTTCCACCCAAGTACTTTTCACCTGATCCTGACTGCTCCACCCACTGTTCTTCAACTTCCCACTGCTCCACCCACTGTTCTTCAACTTCCCTGCTCCACCCACTGTTCTTCAACTTCCCTGCTCCACCCACTGTTCTTCAACTTCCCACTGCTCCACCCACTGTTCTTCAACTTCCCACTGCTCCACCCACTGTTCTTCAACTTCCCACTGCTCCACCCACTGTTCTTCAACTTCCCACTGCTCCACCCTGTTCTTCAACTTTCCTGCCCCACCCTTTCTTCAACTTCCACTGCTCACCCACTGTTCTTCAACTTCACTGCTCCACCCACTGTTCTTCAACTTCCCACTGCTCCACCACTGTTCTTCAACTTTCCACTGCCCCACCCACTGTTCTTCAACTTCTCCTGCTCCACCCACTGTTCTTTAACTTCCCGCTCCACCCACTGTTCTTCAACTTCCCACTGCTCCACCACTGTTCTTCAACTTCCCACTGCTCCACCCACTGTTCTTCTTCCCATTCTCCACCCTGTTCTTCAACTTCCCTGCTCCACCCACTGTTCTTCAACTTCCCACTGCTCCACCCACTGTTCTTCAACTTCCCACTGCTCCACCCACTGTTCTTCAACTTCCCACTGCTCCACCCATTGTTCTTCAACTTCCCACTGCTCCACCCACTGTTCTTCAACTTCCCACTGCTCCACATGTAACCCACTGCTCCACCCACTGTTCTTCAACTTCCTGCTCCACCCAACCATTCAACACCATTCACCCATCTGTTCTTAACACTTCACTAACTATTCTGTTCTTCACCTCTGCCTAGTGTTTCATCCACCTCTTTTCTCTCCTCACCATTCCAGCTTCCTCACTACTCTGCCACCCACATGTTCTTAACCAATTCTTCACTACTCCACCCACTTGTTCTTCACCACTGCTCTACCCACTTGTTCTTTATCACTTCCCCACCACCTGCTCTTCCTGCCCCATTCACATGTTCTTTCCCACTGCTCCACCCACCTGTTCTTTATCACGGCTCCACCCACTTGTTATTAATCACTACCCCTGCTCCACCCACATGTTCCTCCCCACTGCTCCCCCACATGTTTTCCCCACTGCTCCACCCACCTGTTCTTCACCACTGCTCCACCCACCTGTTCTTCACCACTGCTCCACCCACATGTTCTTCAACCTGCTCCACCCACATGTTCTTCACCACTGCTCCACCCACATGTTCTTCCCCATAGCTCCACCTGTTCTTCACTACTGTTCCACCCACCTGTTCTTCACCAATGTTCCACCTACCTGTTCTTCACCACTGCTCCACTTTTCCTCACCACTGCTCCACCCACCTGTTCTTACCTGCTCCACCCACCTGTTCTTTACCTCTCCACCCACCTGTTCTTCACTACTGTCCACCCACCTGTTCTTCACCACTGCTCCACCCACCTGTTCTTCACCACTGTTCCACCCACCTGTTCTTCACCACTGCTCCACCCACATGTTCTTCCACTGTTCCACCCACATGTTCTTCCCCACAGCTCCACCCACCTATTCTTCACTAATGTTCCACCCACCTGTTCTTCACCACTGTTCCACCTACCTGTTCCACCCACCTGTTCTTCCCCACAGCTCCATCCACCTGTTCTTCACTAATGTTCCACCCACCTGTTCCACCCACATGTTCTTCCCCACAGCTCCACCCACCTGTTCTTCACTAATGTTCCACCCACCTGTTCTTCACCACTGTTCCACCTACTTGTTCCACCTACATGTTCCCACAGCTCCACCCACCTGTTCTTCACCACTGTTCACCTACCTGTTCACCCACCTGTTCTTCACTAATGTTCCACCCACCTGTTCTTCACCACTGTTCCACACCTGTTCCACCGCATGTTCTTCCCCACAGCTTCACCCACCCGTTCTTCACCACCCACAAGTTATTCCCACTGTTCCACCCACATGTTCTTCCCACCGCTCCACCCACCTGTTTTCACTAATGTTCCACCCACATGTTCTCTTCACCACTGTTCCACCTACCTGTTCCACCCACATGTTCTTTTCCCCCACCGCCCACCCACCTGTTTTCTCTTCACTGATGTTCCACCCACCTGTTCTTTCACTACTGTTCCACCCACCTGTTCCACCCACCTGTTCTTCACTAATGTTCCACCCACCTGTTCTTCCCCACAGCTCCACCCACCTGTTCTTCACCAATGTTCCACCTTCCTGTTCCACCCACATGTTCTTCCCCACAGCCCACCCACATGTTCTTCACCACTGTTCCACCCACCTGTTCTTTACCACTGCTCCACCCACCTGTTCTTCACTACTGTTCAACCCACCTGTTTCTTCACTACTGTTCCACCCACCTGTTCTTTCACCACTGTTCCACCCACCTGTTCCACCCACCTGTTCTTACCACTGTTCCACCCACTGTTCCGCCCACCTGTTCTTCACCACTGTTCCACCCACCTGTTCTTCACAACTGCTCTACCCAACTGTTCTTAAATGCTTCACTATCTTGCCTATATGTTCTTCACCACTATTCCACCCACCTGTTATTCACAACTGCTCCACCTACTTGTTCTTCACCACTGTTCCACCCACCTGTTATTCACAACTGCTCCACCCACATGTTATTCACTACTCCACCCGTCTGTTCTTTACTACTGCTCTGCCCACTTGTTCTTCACAACTACTCCACCCACATGATCTTCATCACTTCCACACTGCTCCACCCACCTGTTCTTCACTGTTCCACCCACCCGCTCTTCACCACTGCTCCACCCACCTGTTCTTTACTTCTGCTCCACCCTCTTGTTCTTCACCACTGCTCCACCCACATGATCTTCATCACTTACACACTCCTCCCACCCACCTGTTCCTTATTTTCCCACTCCTACACCCACTTGTTCTTCACCACTTCTCCACCCACCTGTTCTTTAGTACTGCTCCACCCACTTGTTCTTCACCACTGCTACACCCGTATGTTCTACACTGCTCCAACCACTCACTCTTCACTTTCCTACTTTTACACCCACCTGTTCTTCACTACTATTTCCTACTGTTCTGCCCACCTGCTCTTCACCTTCACACTGCTTTGCCCACCTGTTTTTCATTACTCTTCCCCACTTGTTCTTTGCCTCCTCTGCATTGTCCCACCCACCTGTTCTTCACCTCCTTCCTATCATCGCCTGTTCCTACCTTTCTCACACCACCTACTGTACTCTAAACATTTCCAAAGCTAAACTAAAAATTATCTACCAATCCCAGGCTAGCACTCTTATATCTGTAGCTCAACCAATACGATAAGAACTCGTGTTTAGTGTGGGTGTGTGCGGGTTCTGACCTGGGGACCCTGAAGAATTTAATTGTGTACTTTACACATTTTATAGTACAGTTACTATAGAGGGTTGTACACATGACGTCACAGGACACGGACAGCCTTGCACTGGCTTTCTTATTTTTTAACATAGTTACTGTAGGGAGAGACAAGGTAAGTGTCATCAAAACAATTCACCGAGGCCACCCCGCAATCTACTATTAGTCAATACTTATCATAGTATTTCACCGCTGTAATGTTGGGTGCACATACATATACAGGGACAAAGGAAACTCCATAAAAGAGTCACTCTTATTGTTGCTTTTCAAATCAAGTGCTACGGATATGACAAATGGCAGACATTAAATGAACAGGCTACACACAGCGGGCTACACTATTCTCACTTCATTGAAGGAATGCACAATACAGTATGGTGGCAATTCACCTCATTAACAAAGTGAAAACTCTTAAAATTTGTGGTATATCAGCTTATAGTACAGTATTCTGAGTGGAGGTCATTCACACAGCCTTACAGATAATGGGCCAATGTTTTTACCATGTTCTGTACATTATTTGGAGGTTCAATTACAAATAACACTTCAATGCAGGAGAGTCTCGTCTCGTATAACTATTCAAGACTGTTTCGGTAAAAAGAAAATGCCAATAATGCAGAAGCAATGCCAATACTGTAATGTATTCTTGCTTACCAAAATATTGTGCCATTCATATATTATAACTTATAACATACTGTACTTTAAGAAAGCAGTACAATACTTGACCATTTTCTTAAAACTCATTACCGGTCTAGCAGTCTCATCTGTAGCTAATAAACTTTAAATTGATAGTAATTTTTTTTGTTAGGAAAGAACAATAAAATTCCCCCTCACCCGACTATTATACTGAGGTTCTGTACATTGCTTTATGGCCAAACTAATTATGAAACGCAAGATATGAAAACAAATTATCATTATTTTTACCAAATTTCCTGTCCTTTCCGTCTCTTTTTTCCATCAGTCTGCCTTCTTGCCCTCAACAATGTCTCCGTTTTTCACTATTTTTCTCCCATTTTGGATTCCAGGCAAAGTAGTTACATAACAATGATCAAGTACAATAAATATAGATGTTCCAACTAAGTTACTCGTATAAAAATAAACATAGGCAGAAACTATCTTAACAAGAAACACTGTAAAAAAATATCTACGCTACATGTGATATATAACTAATCAATAATCCGAATCTGAATTAAAAAAAAAATTACCATGCATTATAGAGATCTTATACTTATACTTAACTAGCAACATTCCTTTCATCTGGATTGTAGTCAGTAAGTTTTCACTAACAGTATCTATCCATAAATTATCTCTGCGCCTCCAGACTCTCTTATGCTTGCAAATTTTGTCCCGTGAAAGCTTGGATGTAACGTGAGTGCACGTTATTTTTTTTTTTACAAGTGTAAATACTGTACACGACAACCACGAATTTACTTGTTGGAACAAAAGTCAAAACTGCACCCTATGGCTACAGTAGATACACATTATGTAGCTAAGAGGAGTTATCTAAGTTATAATCTTTTACCGTTTAGCTCTATTTGTCAATAAAAAAGACTAGCAGCTTCCTTTGTGAGTATAAAAACAAGACTAGTACAGTAGCTTCCTTTGTAAGTAAAAAAAAAAGACTAGCAGATTCCTTTGTGAGTAAAAATGACTAATAGGTTCATTTGTGAGTAAAAAAAAAGGCTAATACAGTACAGTAGTTCCCTTTGTGTGTACAAGGAGCAAAGACGTCCATAACAAGCATAAACAAAAGACCTGTCCCTTTTGTGGGGTCAGTAGAGTACAACCCTTCTATATTCTAAGAGTAAAGGTACGTTTAGGAAAATTTACAGGTATCACTAGTTTTCACATGATCTACAATTTAAACACAATGAAAACCAAAGACTAAAAACTGGATGCTTCATGTACTGTATCCCTCTAATGTAGAAAACACGATACATCCCAGAGTACCTCAATCCCTTGGTTAAAATAATCAGATCACGCCTATTATAAAACTGTTCTCAGCTCTTAGGGGATCAACGTACCTGCCAAGTTTCAAAAACATTTGTCCACCCCTTCAAGAATTACACATTCACAGGAACAATAGGCCACAGACGGACGCCGTTTTTTGACCCGATCAAAACCCTGGTTACCGAGCACCAAACAAAGTCTTTTACACTTGTACTATATATATATATATATATATATATATATATATATATATATATATATATATATATATATATATATATATATATATTGTAGTAGTTAACACACTGATAATGTTTATGGATATTCCATAATAAAAATGACAGCCAAATTACCACTTCCAGAGTAAAGTACTCTTTAAACTTGTGCCAAATATAAATGATATAATGTATATTAAATGGTTAACATTCTGAAGCTATTTTATGTAAAAAAATGCTCAAATGTCCCACATTCCTAAGTCAATCAGAAGTTGTTTAACAGACAGTGAGCACTAAGGTGTTTACACTATTCCTCAATACAGGGCCACCAGTCATTAACACTGATGCTCTGTATGGAAATTTTGAGAAAGAAAATACAGAAAAATTAATGGTTCATTAACGGCAATCTTAATCAAGTAAAAAAAATGATGCACAGACATTGGAAACTATTTTCTTTATAACTGTGCAAAATAATACTGAAATACAGCTAACACACTATTGTTGTTTATAGAAATTCAATTAAATAAAAAATTATAGCCATATCACAATATTTAATGCAAGTATTTTTTTTTCAGTAACCCGGGAACTGAAGTCTTTTCACTTGTGAAAACCATAAATTAAATTTAGGTAGCACAATGATGCTACAGTATTTATAATAAATCTATGAACAAATGGCTGTCAAATTGCTAATTTTAGTTATGCAATGTCTATTAACGAACTTTTTCGACGGTTTAGGAGGATCAGCGTCCTGTTAAGTTTCCAGAAAACTTGTTAAACTCTTCATGAGTTCTAACACTTGCCAGATAGGTCAACGGACCTGAGAGCTCATTTGTAGAGTTTGCGTGGATAATTATACAGCATACACTCCTCCCTGTATTCTGCCCACATGTTTTTTGCCTCTTCCCACTGGTCCATCCACCTATTCCTCCTTCTGAACCTAACTTCTCCCCACTTACTGGTTCTTCACTTCCTCCTCCCCCAACACCCACTTTCTCCCCACCCACTTACTCTTCACCACCACCTCCTTCTGTAACCAGTTTCTCCTCTCCCACTCCTTCTTCATCCCCTCCTTCCTCTTTACCCAACTTCTCATCACCCACTTGTTCCTCACCTCTCCTCCCTTGCATCTACCTTCTCCTCTTCCTCACCATCCTCTTCTTCACTTTCTTCTTCCTCTGCCCCAACCTTCTCCTCACCACCAATCTGTCCTTCATCTCCTCCACCCCCTGAATCCATCCTCTCCTCCCCACACACCTCTTCTTCATCACCTCCTTCCCCTGGACCTACATTCTCCTCCCCACCCACCTGCTCTTCACCTCCTTCCCCAGTACCCACCTTCTCCTCCAGGGCCCTCCTCTGAGCTTGCGCCCTCCTTGCCTTGGTGCTGTTGGTCACTCGGAACTTGAGCATGGCTGCGTTGGTTGTGGTGCAGCTAGTTGTGGTGGAAGTGGGTTGTGGTGCAACAGTTATGGTGGAAGTGGGTTGTGGTGCAGCTAGCGATGGCAGAAGTACGTTGTGATGTAACTGGTGATAGCAAAAGTGGGTTGTGGTGCAATTAATGGTGGTTGAGGTAGTAATGGGTGGTAGTACAGTTAGTGGTAGTGGTGACAGTAATAGGTAGTGATGATGTAGCTAACTGAGGTGAGAGCAACAGTGAGTGGTGGTGCTATAGAAGTGGTGGAAGATACTAGTGGAGGTAATAATGGGTGGTGTGCAGCTAGTGGTACAAGTGAAGTGGGTGCAACTTGAGGTGGCGAGTGGTGGTGTGGCTTGGTGTGTGATTACAAGTTGAAGCTAGAAGCGTTGTTGTGTTAGCAGTGGATGTGGCAATGACGGATGGTGGTGTTAGCAGTAGGTGGCAGTGCAGGTGATGGTAGCAGTGACGAAGTGGTGGTAACAGTGGTGGTGATCCTGCTGGTGGTGGCGGTGGTGGCAGTGATGGGCTGTGGTGCAGGTGGTGGTGGCAGTGGTGGTGGTGGTGCAGATGGTGGTGTCAGAACAGTTGGCAGGTCGCTCTCCCTCGTACCAGCCTGTAAACATAGAGTAGATGAGCGCGAGTAAGTCATATTGTATAATCACAGTTGTAAACAAATGAATAGATATATTAATGTATGTACGAAAGGAAAACAAGAAAGATGATCGCAAAATAACAAAATGATTTATTCCCTGGTTCACAACTGACAACACTAGGAGCAAGCACGGCATACTCAGTGGTTAATTGAAAATGATGACATGCTTGCAAACATGTTCATGTGAGGTAGTCTGTAGTGTACCTGTATTTACGATTAAGAAATTTGACAGTGGACGATATTTATCACAGGTGAAAGTCTATGGAGAAAATATCATTACCAGAGAACGTGACACGGTGAAAATGGTCCGAATGGCGCTAAGGATGTAAAGTGGACTGGTCATCCAAGCACATCGACTACCCAAGTCAATACAGTATCACATGATTCAACGAGCAAATGAAGACCTACGAGTTAACATGTCTGTCGTCGCCTCAACCTTCTGTATGGTAGAGTGTTTGACATAACCCGTAGTACTAAATTAAGTCTGTGCAGTAGGTACCAAAGTTGATACCAGAGAAGCACAAGGCTAAACAACGTGGGCTGCAGCTTGTTTGGTCTTTAATTCTAAACTGAAGAGGAAAACTTTGTTAAGGCGATGAAACAAGGGTATACAATACAGTATTATTTCATATCAGAAACAATTCAAGTTTCAGTGGGATGATAATGTTTCAAGTTTTCAACGTCGCCAGAAGAAAATAAGTTCAAAGCAACATCCACAGAAGAAGGTGATGGCAACTGCCTTCTGGGACAGTGAAGGTCTTCTCCGGGACTTTCTGTAATTTGGGTCAACTATGAATGCATATGTATAATTTGCAACACTACAGCAACTTCATGCACCCAACCAGCCGCCATCACAACCTGATACTGCACGCCAGAGTTGTTTGAAAGATGTGTTTGTGTAGTCGAGGTCCGTCCTCCACACATTCACCACCTAACATGTCTACCAACCTAGCCTGATGCCACTTCAGTTTAACACACCAGAACAGATGAAGTTTAAATAGTGATTGGCAGCACATAGTCTAGGATTCTATGAAATGAAAGGCTCAATTACCTCAACATAAATGATGATAAGTGTGTAGACAAGCATTGTAGGATACGTACTACAAAAAAAAAAAATATTTTTGACAATTATACACATTGATCATGCCCCGTACTATTACAGCCTAAAATTATTATATTTTTAATAAATTCAAAGAGAAACATACTTACCGACTTACAGAGCAAAGCATTTTAATTACTGAATGTCACTACTTGACTGTGAAGGGAAATTTTCTCTATGCAATGACCCGACTTCTGGTGAATCCATGTAAGAAGCAGAGAATTGTGGCACCGTGGGAAAAGACTTGAGAAAGTGAGGAAAAGGTGGGAGGGAATGTGAGTGTGACAAAAGGGGCTTATACGGCGAAGGATGTGTGTGAGAACAGGAAGTGGGACCAATGGACGCTGGTGTGGAACTGCAATATTTTTATGGGTTAATCTGGTACTAATGTAAAAAGAATATAATCTCTCTCTCTCCCATATATATATATATATATATATATATATATATATATATATATATATATATATATATATATATATATATATATATATATATATATATATATATATAACCATGCTAAGTTCATGCTTGCCTTTATGTCTCATGAGTCAAGGTCGTAGGAGCCTGAAGAGTCAATGGTTTATGTCTAAGCAAGTTATTGGAGCTCCAACAACTTGTCCCTGAATACGAATTCGCAACTTTCGATTTACAGCAGGTACCTACATTGCTGCTAGGTGAACAGGGACCAAGGGGACTAGGAAGAGTGTCCAAACAACTTCTGCCGGCCCGGGAATAGAACCTGTGACATCTTGCTTGCGAGGCAAGAGTGATACCGCACCACCAGCGCCCCCCTATATACACTTTTCTCCAAGTCATCCTCTTCCCTAGGTGCCCCTCTGCTCTCCTACTAGGTTAGCCTTGAAAGGTTCTCAGCACGGAACTAAATCTCCTTCACTGAAAGAAGCAAATAATGTGGACATTGTCTGATGGTTGAAGTGATGTAGGGGAACAATGAACCACACAATCTACACCCCCACACACAATACCACCATACACTGTACACCACTACACACACACTGTACACCACCACACACTGTACACCACTACACACACACTGTACACCACCACACACCTGTACACACACACACACTGTACACCAACATACACTGTACCACTACATACACTGTACACCACTACACAGTACACCACTACACACTGTACACCACCACACACTGTACACCACCACACACACACTGCACCACTACACACACTGTACACCACTACACACACTGTACACCATACCTGTACACCACTACACACTGTACACCACACACACTGTACACCACCATACACTGTACACACACACTGTACACCACTACACACACTGTACATCACTAAACACACTGTACACCACTACACACACTGAACACCACCACACACTGTACACCACTACCCACTAAACACACTGTACACCACTACACACTGTACACCACTACACACTGTACACCACTACACACTGTACCACACACACTATACACCACTAAACACACTGTACACCCTAAACACACTGTACACCACACACACTGCACCACTACACACACTGTGCACCACACACACTGTACACCACCACACACACTGTACACCACCACACACACTGTACACCACACACACACTGTACACCACTAAGCACACTGTACAGTGTACACACACACACTATACACCACTAAACACACTGTACACCACTAAACACACTGTACACGACACACACTGTACACCACTACACACACTACCACCATACACTGTACACCACTACACACAATACAACCACATATTGTACACCACTACACACTGTACACCCACACACACTGTACACCACTACACACAATACAATCACACACACTGTACACCACACACACACACACACACTACTACTTTGCTGTCACTCGGAATCGAGTATGACGATCACCCACTGGTAAAATGATATGAGTTATTAAGGATGTCCACTTTGTTGGTGAGCTCTGAGGTGAATAGAGAGGCCGATATGGGACCGGCAGTGCCGTCCACAGATGTTGCATGTGTGGAGGGCTACATATAGTGCGGAGGGCGGCAGCAGCGTCTTTACGGCGTTGGCGCTCGTCTGCCTCGGTTTGCAGTCGGGCTAACTCGAAAGTATTGACACCTTCTTGTGTGGTGCTCCCCAAGCGTTACGATGTGGAGTAATCGTCTCCCCAGGTGAGGGGGTCGATTTGGTACTTTTCAGGTTTGTCTTAAGACTATCCTTATAACTTTTCCATTGCTCGCCAGCGTTACGTTTAATATTCGTTTGGTGACGTATAATAGCTGCTTTGACAGTCTACTGTCATCCATGCGGGTAACATGGCCAGTACAGCGTAGTTGGACACACACACACACACACACACACACATTATCACCATGCACTATACACCACCACCACCACACACACTACCACCATACACCATCACACAAGTAAACTACCACCATCTCTATAAACCCAAGAGCCATTTCTCCATTAACCTTCTCACTGGTCTGGCTAATCACTTTAAATAAACCATATTTTTACCAGGACAAATCCGATTTTATTTTACGCCGAAAGAAGAAAATTTTGGCAATGATAAAATTTGGTTGGTGGGACGAGGTCCGCCTGGCAACCAACCAACTGCATGGGTCAGGGTCGAGCAGGGTAAAATGGGCAGAGCTTTTAGTCGATAGGTCATTTGGCTCTGTCAGTCTCTCTCATTTTTGTATCGCTCTTCCTCCCTACACTGTGCCAAGCCTGTACAATACAATACCAAGTCCCCCTCGCATACTTCTCTCTGGAAGTTTTTTCCAATTACCTGTACTTTCAACTTTCATCAGTCATACAATGTAAAATAGAATTCCTATTACCACCTTTTGTAACTCCTATTACCACCTTGTACTCCTATTAACACCTTTTGTGTGTGTGTGTGTGTGTGGATGAAAAATACAGCCGTCTAACACCCACACACCTGTCTAACACACACTTGCCTAACAAACACACCTGCCTAAGCTCTTTCTTTGTAGAGTATAAACTCAGGCCCAGGCACCTGAGCTGAGCACCGCCGATAATCATCATTGCTAACCTGATTATAAACTTACGTTACGTACAGTTGTGACAAATTTCCTGAACCCTTGGCTACATCTGGAATCACTTGAGGGTTTCATATAGGACTGGTGTATGTCTAATTCACTCCTTCACACATTGAAAACCCCCAGAAAATATGTTAAAATTCCAATCCGCCTCACCTAATGATCCTCATGTACTGTACTTAGGTGCCACATGCTGCCACTTGTGTCATATACAAGAGATATTGATACAGTAGTTAATACTGTGCAGCTGTTTGCGGGAAAAACAAGAAAAGAACAAAAATATATATATGTGAAGATGGCCGAACGGAAGGTTAATCCCAGCATTACTCACTGTAAGTCGTAGGTTTGGCTTCACTCAAATAGAAATTAAAATAAGTGTGTGAGGTTACAAGTGAGTGTGTGTGTGTGTGTGTGTGTGTGTGTGTGTGTGTGTGTGCTCGCGCTGTAAAGTTTAACAACGAACAAACGGACAGAGTATGTATGGACGACGCAT